AAGTGGAAATAGAAACTACCTATTTGCATGTATTCAGTTAATGCCCAATACTATCACCTGAGTTTTCATACCCCAGGTACACTTTATTAAATATAGTCCTTAAATTTAAAATCTACCTCTATGTAAATCTAGCTTTTCCTCATCATACTGAAATACCATTATTCTTTCTGGAAATTAATTTGTCATTTTAATTCTAGTACTGGTACTTTCATTTATACAAATTTCATTATTTTAAGATTTTTTATATTGATTTTCTATAGCCTGCAATTTTAAAATTAATTTTTCACTTATAAGTTTAAAAAATGATTTTAACCTGATAATTAACATATGTGGAATATGTACTATATTTCTAATATCCATTGTGCAAAATTAATAAGTATAGCAGAAAAAAAGATGCTTTGATTTTTGCCTCTGAACAAAACTACATAAAGAATCAATGTTTTATCACACCGAGAGACAATATGGGAAATTCAAAATTAACTTAAAATGTTAATACCAAAAATAACTGCAAATGTTCTTTGCAAAGGGAAATGTGCTCTTCAATTTAAACAATTTACAAATATTGTTCAAAAATATTTCCCTGCATCATAATGCCCCCCACACACATTAGTTCCAAATAATATTGTGGAACTGAAACCTTTTTATGAAAGAGCCTGATTTTTTAGGTTTATTAAATTAGCAAGCAAAAATCTGTATCTTTATAAATACTGCACATTAATATTAATAAGCAGGTCAGTTCCTAATGGATTTTAAAATTCACTCCACATTCAAATAATATCCTGACCCCAAAGGTAGGTAAGCCTTCCCATGATACAAATGAGGAAGCTGAGCTCCTGAGATGACACAAATTCTTACAATCATAATGTAAACCAGAGACATAAATCATTCATAGGAGACCCTCGCTTTTCTATTAATATTAAGTAAATGTATTACAGTAGCCAATATGCAATCAGCATAAGTTTCACCAATTTAAGTGTTTTACAAAGATGTATATTTTACAGGGAAATAAAACAGTTTCATTATAAAAAAGTTTTGAAGAGGAATGTAATATGAAATTTACAGATAAAAAATACACAATTCTTATATAAAAAAAACCCTAAAACTTAAAAAAAATACACAATTATAACCCATATTTACTAGTAAAACGCCATGATAGTAAAACAGATGTGAATAAATAAGTTAATGACATGAGATGCCAAAATACATCTCTGCTGTTTTGAAAGGCTGATCAGTTTTACTGAGCCAAATAAAAAGAAGTATCACTCTGTCAGCAGAAAACCTGAGGGATAGCTATGTATGGCATTAATTGAAATGAAAGTGATCCCTATTTCAAAATGATGTCTGAAAGATAAACCAAAAAATCCCTGAAGCAACGTTCTACCTCCACATATATAGGTGCTAAGGCAAAAGCGGGCATACAATTGTGAGTACACCAAACCGGCTTTATTCTTGTATTATAATTTATTAATTATTGTATTATTTTCTATACGAACTTAAACCTTTTGTCCCACTCTGCATATACCATGCATTCTACTTAGGCTGGTTGAGAAAAAAATCTAACAAAAACATTGTACATAGCATATTTTTAATTCTGACTATATGCAAACTGCAGGCAATTTGAAGACTCATAAAGAAGAAATTACCCGCAACTGTGTTAGCAAAAGAAAACTGTTACCATTTTATTTCCTTCCAGTATTTTCCTAATACTTTGTAAACACTTCCATTGTTAAAAATTCTGTAAGTGTTTTAAAGCACTGCTTCTCATTCTGAAATTGCCTTCTTTTCAGGTTATGCAAGGAACACCAGTGGACCCTAAAAGCACATCTGTTAGACTACACAGACAGGTTTAAAAGCAATTCCACCAGACTATATCAAGGGCCTTTAGATAAGAAAATACAATTTTTAAAAATCAGGGAGTTGAAATCCCACACAATTCCTGAGTCTTCAGGTGATATATACCTAACTGGTCCTTATTTTATCAGATAATTTACCAATGATAATCATTTAGAGTTAAGTTATGCTTTCCCCTTTGCAAAATTGTGTACTATCATTCCATTTTCATTAAATTATGAAACAGGTATGAAGGGATTACAAAGTACAAGTTGGTAGTTATAAAATAGTCATGAAAGCAGAGCATAGGGAACAGAGTAAAAAATATTTTAACAACTATATATGGTGGCAGATAGGATACTGGAAATATGGGGAGATGGAAGGGCAGAAAAATCACTTTGTAAAGTACAAAAGTGTCCAATACTACGCTGTACACCTGAAGCTAATACAAAATAATATGTCAACTGTAACTGAAAAATAAAATTTTTAAGGAAAAAAAGGTATGTATCCTCAATTTTGAAGAACTAGAAATTAGATCTTTTAAATTATCAACAGCATTTCTATTTGAGTTTAATCTACACTGGTGTTTATATAAGACTAGAGGCCTGGGGCACATTTGTGCACTGGAGGGGTCCTCAGCCAGCCTGTGATCTCTCGCAGTCCAGTCTGGGACCCCTCAGGGAATGTCTGCCTGCCGGCTTAGCCCCAATCCCAGGCCTAAACCGGCAGTCAGATATCCCTCTTGCAATCCAGGTCTCCTGCAGTCTGAGACCCCTTGCTCCTTACCACCTACCTGCACCAGAGACAGAAGAGGCTCCCACCACCGCCACTGTGCTTGCCAGCTGTGAGCCCAACTTCTGGTTGAGCGGTGCTCTCCATGGGCCCATGGGAGTGCACTGACCACCAGGGGGCAGCTCTTGTGCTGAGTGTCTGCACCCTGGTGGTCCTTGTGCGTCACAGTGACCAGTTGTCCCATCGTTCAGTAAATTTGCATATTAGGGTTTTATTATATAGGACTAGAGGCCCAGTGCATGAAATTCGTGCACAGGTAGGATCCCTAGGTCTGGCCAGTGATCAGGGCCAATCAGGTTCTCCGCCTCCTCCTTCCCTCACTCCCTTAGCACCCTCCTGCCTCTGCTGATTGCCCCCATGTTCCATGTCACCCCTGGTGGTCAGTGCACATCATAGAAGGCAATCGAACTCCCGGTTTCTTCGTCAAACTCATGAGGAGACAATTTGCATATCAGCCTTTTAGATACAGGATATAGGATAATATTGTGAGCCCAGCCGGTATGGTTCAGTGGTTGTGCATAGACCTAGGAACCAGGTGATCACAGTTCCGTTCCAGGTTGCAGGCCCATTCCTGGGATGCAAGCTCAAACCGGCGTGTGTGCAGGAGGCAGCCAATCAATGACTCTCATCATTGGTGTTTCTATTTCTCTCCCCCTCTCTGGGGGGAAAAAAAAAAAAAAAATGTTCAAAAAAAGATAACACTGTGAAAGACAAACATATATTTGTTAAACTAGTGGTAAGAGCTGAAATAAAATATTGTTTAAAATATAATGTTGCACATTTAATTACATCAGGCTTGTGTGGGGAGACATGTAACATTCTACATTGTTCAAATATTTTTAAAAAAAAAAACATGCTATATACATTTTGATTTGGAAATAAGCAAAACAGAGCATTCTGCTTAGGTAGTTATATTCCTTCCTATACCAAGGTACCTTACATTTTTTGGTCTCAGTTTCCCATGTTTGAAATGGGATAACAATACCTATCTCAAATCTTTGTGGTAAGGATTGAGTTAATACATGTAAACTACTTGGAACTGTGCCTGCGACAAAGCAAGCCCCAGTAAGTGTTAGCCACATATAAGCCTGTTTTTTGTTGTGTGCGTTTTTCCCTACTAGGAGGAAACTACAAGCACAAGCTTTAAGACTTCAATGAAAAAAAGAATTTCACACTCTAACTTACTAAGGGCCAATGTTTAAAAATTTACTGAAGATTTATCTAAAACCTGAATGCTACACATCTACATTGCATAGAACTGCCTAACTCTAAAAGAGGTCAGTTTACCAAATATGTTCTTTTCCTTACAGTTAAGAGATAGTATATTCCCATGGGCCTGTCAGAGTCTCAGCATCCTCATAATGGCAGGCTTATGGCCAAGATTCCATACTCTACTGAAAACCCTATGAGAGCAACAGTAAGCTGGACTTAAACGTGGGGATCAATTAAAAAACAAACTTCCCAGAAGTAAGTAACAATCCTTCTTACTGGGAAAGGCAATGGAAAATAGGTTCAATAATGATGCCAAACTGATTCAAAAAGTACGGTTCACTGCCCGAAAATAGTACAGAAAGGGTGGAGGGTGAAATCAGCTCTGCATTCTCTTTCCTTCATCGTGATTACTCAATAAACAATCTTGCTTGCTTCTTCAATAGGGTTTTCCAAGGATTGTAGATAGAAAGAAAAAAAAAAGTTTTGTCCCTTTCTGGGCCAGCTTACCCTTTATAATAAAATGTGGAGCGCAACTCATTTAGGTAACATAGTAGGTTGCACCGGGTCAGAGAGCCAGCGTCTAACCCAGGCAATCCCTAGAGTCTAAATCCTAGACCAACATTCAGACTGACCATGAGGGATTGTAAAGTGCACTTCCTAACCCCAAGACCCAAAGATAACCAGAATCAGTGCCATTCGCTGATGAACCTGAGAACTTCAGTAGTTATCGCCACTTGCCTTGAACGGGTTTAAGGTGCTATTTTATGACCTCGCCTTCCTACTGTCTACGCATCCATTTAGCTTAACTTTAGGCGTCACGTCTCCAATACATCTTTTTTTCTCTCTCCCAAAAGATGTTCCCTAGAAAAAGAATCCAATGCCAAAAAGGAGGCCTGGATAGCAGGGTATCGCTCCCCTCTTTTCAGGAAAATGAATGGCCTGGCCAAAAATAAGTAAAAGCTACTCCAAGCTGGGGGGACAACAGGCTGATCCTAGCTTTGCAACTCAACCTGGAGAGCGCCGGGCACCCCGCACCTTCCCGGCCTGTGGCAGACCAAGCTCCAGGCCCGCAGCCCCGGCGCCCCGCAGGCTCTCCCCGCGCCTGCCTCCGCCGCCCGCCCGTGGGGCTCCCGGCACCGCGCGCTCCCTGGGAACCAACCACTCACCTTGCTGAGCTCGGGCGTCCTCGAGCAGCAGGAGCAGGACGAGCAGGAGCAGGAGGAGCGGAGGCATAGGGGAGGAGGCGGCGCCGGGGCGGGGAGGGCGCGGGCCGGAGCGGGAGCGGGGGAGCGCGGCCCCTGCGGGGGCGGCGGCCGCGGCCCGGGCTCGGGGCCGGTCAGGGCTGCGCTCTGCGCTCACCGCCGCCCGGCTCGCCATCGCGGCGGCCGGCAGTCCGCCTGCATAGTGCGGGCGCCCCGGGAGCCCCGCGCGCCCGGGGGCCGCGGCGCCCGGCGAGGAGGGAGGCGGTGGCGGCTGCGGAGCGAGAACAAGAAGCCGCGCGCGCCTCGCTCCGCGCCGGGACCCCCTCCGCCCCTCACTCACTCCGCTTTCGCTTCCTCGAAGGTCTTTCCCTCCGTCCCCCCCCGCCCGAGACCCCGGGCCGGGATGCAGGGGAGGAAGGGGAGGGGAGGAAGCGAGTGCTCGAGGCGCGGAGGACAGCAGCGACGGGCCGGGCGGCAAGCCTCCCGCACCGCGTCCCTCAACCCTGCGCCCCGCTCGCCGCGCTCTCCCGCCGCTCCGGCTGGCTGGCAGGCAGGCGGGCCGCCGAGCCCTCGCGCTCCCTCCGGCTCGCTCTGGCCACGCCTCCTCGGTCGCCACGGCCAATCCGCCGTTAGCTCTGGTCCGTCTCCCTCCCGCGCCACCCAATCAACGCGCTCTCCCCTCAGTTGACCAGTCAGCTTCGCTACCCACTCCTCGAGCTCCACCGCCTCGCATCTCTCTCCTCCAATGCCCTGAGGCCTTGGGAAGCGTCCCACCCGCCTCCCCCAATCTGGGCTCCGCCCCCAAGCTCCGGCCCCGGCGGCCCCCGCCAGACCCTGAGATTTGTTATTGTTGGGACCTCAGCCCCAGCAGATCCCTCTGCGGCGGCCGTCTGCTCCGGTCAATGACTTCCGGGACTTCCCCCAGCCCGCTCTCCCGGCTCCTCGGGCCGTGCCTGCTCTTTGCTCCTCCCTCACCGCACATCAGGCCACTTGGAAGGGGTGGGAAACCTGGATTCTGGATGGTTTTAGCTGGGAGCTGAGTCTAAAGGATCTATCTTCCCTCCTTCCTTTCTTCCTTCCTTCCTTCCTTCCTTCCTTCCTTCCTTCCTTCCTTCCTTCCTTCCTTCCTTCCTTCCTTCCTTCCTTCCTTCCTTCCTTCCTTCCTTCCTTCCTTCCTTCCTTCCTTCCTTCCTTCCTTCCTTCCTTTTCTTCTTTTCTTCTTTTCTTCTTCCCTCCCTCCCTCCCTCTTTCTGACTTTCCATTTATTTATTTTATAAAAAAAACAGCGATTTTTTTTTTTTTTAATAGAAGCTACTGCCAATTGTTGGGACCACTCCCAGGAACAATAATAGATGAATGTACCCTGTTTTCAATGCCTTTTACTATATTATATTAGGGGGGAAACAAAAAACAAACAAAGGATATAGCAAGATTCATGCCGTCTAAGTAATTTAAACCTAGCATGCTGACAATCATTCAGCCCTTCTAGAGTTGAGCACTTGCAAAACATGTGTTATGCCTTGTAGGAGTTGCAGCCTATGACACAGACAAATTCCAGGATCTGGTGTTGGGACAGAGATGGAAATACATCGTGAAAGTCAGAATGAAATAAGTGCTAATTACAGTCACACGCAATTTGATGGAGACTGGCAGAATAGAGTCACAAAAAGAACTGGGTTTGGGAAAAGCTGAATCCACCCGACTTTGAAGGGATTGGTTTTTAGAGAGGAGAGAAGTGCCATCCTGGATGTTTTCCACATGGGCTCTAAGGAGTCTGGTGTCATTAATAAATATAGAAAACTGGAAAAGTGGAGATGGTTGTGAGGCGAAATGAGTTAATTTTGGGCATAGTGAATTTGAGATGTCCTGTCCACTGATGCGAAGCTATGCAGTCAGGTGGACATGTTGGTCTACAGCTTAGGAAGAGGAATGGGGGAAACTCATGAATAGATGTAATAATCAAAACTATGGAAGAGACTGATATCCTCAAAACCTGAAAATTGTAAAGGACTTTCGAGGCCATCTTTTTCAACTCACTGCAAATCCCTCATGCATTAAACCTTACTATCAAATTTATTTAAAAAGTATTTATTGGAGCTCCACCAGAGTGGCTCAGTGCTTGAGTGTCTACCTATGAACCAGGAGGTCACAGTTTGATTCTGGTCAGGACACATGCCAGGGTTATGGACTCAACCCGCAATGGGGGTGTGCAGGAGGCAGCTGATTGATCAATGATTCTCTTTAGTCATGTCTGTTTCTACCTCTCCCTTCCCTCTCCCTCTCCCTCTCCCTCTCTTTCCCTCTCCCTCTCCCTCTCCTTCTCTCTCTGAAATCAAATATATATATATATATATATATATATATATATATATATATATATATATATATATGCATTGTTTGGATGCCTACTAAACCCTGCTATGCTTTAGGCCTAATGTAGGTAGTGGGCATACAAAGTTCAATCAGAGGAGTCTAGATTCTGAGAGGGAGGTGACCATGTAAATAAATCCATCCATAATCAGCTGCATGTTGGAGATAAGGGCTGATGCCACAAAACCACATTGGAAGGATTTTAAGAAGCCCATTATGGTAAGTATAAAATTTCAGCTGTAGCAAATAAGACAGCAAAGTAAGGAAGTGATTTCAGGCCAAAGGCAAAGGAAGCTGGATTACAGGTGAATGGTGTTGCTGGAGCTGCATCTGCTAGGACTTGCAGCAGTCGCCATAGTCAGCTCCATTCCTTGGCTGGTAAATGAATTAATGCTTCGGATGAAGGCTCTGGGGAAGATTAGAGCTTCAGGAAAGGAACATGTGAGTCGTTATATATCAAATACCAGGAAATTAAACTGTGTATCACTTTAATGCATTTGTTTTTTCACTGCATGATAAACATAAATACAGGTTCTCAATCTAAATTTCATTTCCACTTTCTGTGTGTTCCTTTTTCCTCATTTTCTTTCTTCATAGATAGAGTGGAGGGTTAGAGAAATTGGAATTGATCTGTAGAGAAGAGGAGAAATATGAAAAGAATGTTTACATCCCATTATTTCTGCTTCTCAATGAATCTCAGTTCAGCCACCACTAAGAAAATGAGAATAGAGGAGAAGGCCCTGTGGCTTTTGCTTCATACAGAAGCATCTGAGTTTTAATGGTAAGATACGGTAAAATTCATTGGCACTATCATTGCTGTTAAATGTCGGTAAAGCATTAATAAAACAGAAGAGGCTCATTTAAGATGGAATTTATACTGGAAACCTTGGGATGATGGTGTGTAATGAATCATTGGTGGGTTTTATCAGTGAGTGTATATTTTGACAGGATAACAAAATGAGGGAACAAATGATAATTTACTTTAGTGATCTACTGGGGTGGGAGAGAAAGAAGAATGTGGCATATCTGGGGAAATATTTCCAACTTCAAAGCCCAGGACTCTGAAATCTGGTTCTTGTTCTCCCAGGAGCATTTTCTCTGTCCTGTTGACTGTTTGGACAAATGTTTACAGCCAAGTTTGTTGCTAAATGTCTGAATTCTCCTGGGGAGGCTTTCTTCCTTTCTGTGAACATTTTCTGGATACATCTGCTGTTTATCTTGTAAACTTGTTTCAGTTAGTAATTTCAGTCAAATTCAGCCCTCAGGTTTATTACTCATATTTTCTTAACATTTATAAACAATTTCTTTAGGTTCTGTTATAGCAAATTTAAGACGTATGTGTTGGGAACCTAATTTATTTTCGAAGACATTTCATTTCTACTAGTGGATAGTGAAAATTACGTACATTTTCTTGGCGTATTTCAACTTCAGGACTGACATTGGTAATTTTCCTTTTGCCTTCTACAGCATCTTTCTTTTTCTCTTTCTTCCTCTCCTCCCTCCCCTTGTTTTTCTTTAGGAACATAATAAAATAAAATTTAACGAATTCATTTGTCAGGACAAGAAGGCTTCAGCCTGGTATTTTATTTCTGATGGTGGCTGCAAGAGATTTTAGTGAAAGCATAAAAACTACCCTCCATAACATAAACATCATGCCAAGCCATTAGAAAATTAATTATACATGAGAACTAAAAAATGAATAATAAACATACGAGAGTATCTGAGATAATGTTATTTAGGTGTGCAGTGGCTGTGTCCTTCTCCTGCTATTCTTTCCTGTGGGACCTATGCTGGCAACATAATCAGGAATTAAATATACAGCGCTGAGATGCTGTTTGGCTTCTGAGAAATTCAGTTGTTGTTTCATGAGATCATGGAAACAGCCCCTGAACAGACTCTTGTATCCAACTCTCACTTGGAAGTGCTGTATAACCAATTGCGAGTCTCGTAGGCCTTGGTTTGTCTACAACTGAAAATGGTTGGATCTTGTTATAGATTTTGAGTTTTGACAATTCTTCCAAATTTTCACTGTCCACTGCTCCGTTTCATCTCACAGTCAAATTATAAGTCCTTTATGCCTAAACTGCAACCTCATGGAGAGAGAAGACAAAAAAGCTGTGACTACAAGTTTCCTCTCTGGGAGAACATTGTGCTGGACAGAAGTACACCTTGAAGAGTGTGCTTCACATCCCATACCCCCATAATTGTCTTTATGAATCGGAGTGAGCTGAAGAGCCCAGTTCTGTTTTGTGAAAGAAGTAAACAGAGCCTTGGAGTAGGAAGGTAACATTATCAGGAAGGAGATGTGGGAGGTTAGAGAAGATGAGCTGGCCAGCACAGTGGCTGGAACAGTGGAGAGGTGAGAAAGAGTGAAAATTCCCCAGTGACTGAAATGCAAAGACACTGTATAGATAAGATAGCTAATAAATAAATTCTGTTTGCTGTATAGGCTATGCTGTAACCTTCCTCTGCCTTCCTTCCAAACTCTCCATTAAGTTTACCATGTCACAGGCTTGATCCAGTGAAACTTTGGGGAAGAAGGAACATGCAAGTGGGGAGGGACAATCAGGTGGGTGTCCAGCTTTATTTTTATTGATTTCAGAGAGGAAGAAGGAGAGGAAGAGGGAGAGGGAGAGGGAGAGAGAGAGGGAGAGGGAGAGGGAGAGGGAGAGGGAGAGAGAGAAACATCAAAACATCAATGATAAGTAAGAATCATTGATCAGCTGCCTCCTGCACACCCCACACTGGGGATAGAGTCTGCAACCAAGGCATGTACCCTGACCAGAATCAAACCATTACCTTCTG